GCGGTCTGATAGGACAGCCACAGGCCACGTGTGGCTCCTGAGCACCCAAGACACAGCGAGTGCCACTGAGGAACTGAATTTCCACTTGTATTTCATCCCGACTCATTGAATTTAAAAAGCCACATGTGGCCAGAGGCTACTGGAGTGGGCGGCACAGTCGTAACCTGTCACATGAGCGAAAATGTCAGAAACGTGAAAATACTCTTAGTAGTGGACTGTTGGAAGAAAAAAACAGGACCTAATTACTGCTTTTACCACCAGAAATCCCCCGGCCCTGTGAGCCCTGGGTCGCCATCAGTGGGGGCAGGGAGGGGACAAATAAGTGGACGCCAATCACAAAGTGTGTGTGTTAACAGAGGAGAGGCAGAAGTCATCCCTGTCGAGGAGGAATAAGGAATCAGGACGAGACCCTGAAGCTCAGGGTGGGGACTAGGAGTCTCCTATTCCCCTGGAGTCAGAAAGACACTCCTCCCAGAGGCCCCTGCTCCTTTCGCTCTCCAGAACCCGGGGGGCAGTTCTTCAGGCTTTCTCTTCCAAGCCCAGGTGGCGGTAAGGAGAGAGGTCCCCCTCGTCAACCCAGGAGCCTGGATGTGCCACCCTCTTTCCCGATCCGGAGACCCCTTGATTATGTGCAGAGAGCCGGAATAAGAGCAAAGCGAAGGAGCAGGGGAAGGAGGACAGAAACAGAAGGCGGAAAAGGAAAGAGGAAGGGCACAGCTACTCCGGAACGAGACCTGTTACACTCTTCAAACCCCTACCCTCTCTTCCGGGACACGGGCCACCGACCGCCATGTGCAAGAGCACTAGCCCCCCTGTGCGGTGCAGCTGAGAGGCAGGGGTGTGCATGCTGCTCTCAGGACAAAGGTGAGCTCTCGGTGGGAGGGCAGGTCCCTCAACATCTCCTAGCCCACTTCCTGGTCCACGCACTGAGGCTATGAACAGCCTCCTCCCTGGGCGGTGGGAAAATGAAATGAGATGCCATATGTGAACACCTGGGACACACCCAGCCCGGAACAGGTGCTGGGCAAATGAGGGTGCCCATCCCCCCATCTCTCCTCCCACTCTTCCGGGGCTTGTTCATCTCCACCATCTACAAGTAAAAACTGCACACTCAGATGTTGGTTCTACCCCTTCCCCCCCCCTCCACCCCTCACTGGACCTGTATCCATCTACAAAAAGGAAACAATTACAAGAACATAGGGTTGTTCTGAGGCTCAAAAGAGGCAGACACTGGGAATGGAGCTGAAATCGGTAATCCCACTCTGCCTCACTTCAAGGTCCCAGGCCACCTCCTCCATGCAATCCTCCAGTGATCCTCCTTCCTGGGCCCCTGACCTGACCCTGTCAGTTAGCTTTCAGAATCAGGAGCCTGGCTTCCTAATGTCACCGCCAGCTCCTTGAGGAGAGTGTCACCACATTCACAACACTCCCCAACCCGCCTCTCCTAGGCATGGTGACATGCGCATACAAAGAAAAGGAAGTCATCCACCTAGCCTGGGATCTGAGGCTCTCCCTCCAGCCTCCCCATCCCAAGCTATCTTAAAATTTGAGACTCAAATGAATCCATCATGTCCAATCCCCCCATTTTTCATGGGCAAACCAAGGTCACCCGGGGACAGGCCCAGAACCAGGACCAAGGTGCTCTCACCCCTCAGCAGTGATTCACTTCTTCCCTCTTAATCAGTGACAGGAGAACGTGGATGCCTTTCAGGGCAGGTTGGAACCAAAAGGAAAATAACATCAGGAGGCAGGCACTCTGGCCCAGCCAAGGAGCATATCCCAAAGCTGATGCTCAGTGACTTTGGGGACCAGGAACCTGGTGGCAAAGCCAACAGCAGTGCTCACCATCACCCACCACGGACAGTCGTGAGATGTTTCCATAGACGAGTCGATTTAACACTACGACCGCCTTGGGATCAAAGAGGCTGTAAGAATGAATGATGATAAACCAGGACGGAGATACAGAGACCAGTTCTCCCCAGAAGGCACAGTGGGCTCCCAGTATCTGGATCACAGTCTGAATGGGGGTCATCCCAGAGAATTTCTGGCCATGGTGGAAGTTTCCCACATCCCTATGGTCCAACATGACAGCCACAGGCTACATGTGGCTACTGAGCACCCGAGACATGGCAAGTGCTACTGAAGAATTGAGTTTCTACTTGTATTTCATCTCGACTCATTGAATTTAAAAAGCCACATGTGGCCAGAGGCTACTGGAGTGGGCAGTGCAGTCCTAACCTGTCATCTGAGCTGAAATGTCACAAACACAGAAACGCTTCTAGAGCGTAGTGGAGTGTTAAGGGAAAAAACAGGATCTAATTACCACCAGAAATGCCCCGGCCCTGTGAACCCCTGCTCCCCAGCAGTCGGGGGGAGGGAGAGGACATGAGGCTCTACAAGCCCTTCCAGCTCTGACCACTTGCAAGGTCATTCCGAGCTCCCAGACTTGGTTTCCTGACTACTTGTCCCGATCCTGGCACCAACACCCCGGCAGCTGCTACCAGTGCCCCAGCAGACGGTGAGCTCACTGAGGGCAAGCAGCAGACGGGACTTCCCTCTGCAGCCCCAGCACCCAGGAAAGCGTCTGGGCACAACAGGGGAGCGAAGGCCAGCGTGAATAACAGGACCCTTTCTTGTGCTTACCATGCATCGGGCATGGGGAGGGCACTCACGCATCATGCCGCTCTTCCTCACAGCTGCCCAGCAAGGTGGTAAGGTGGTCTCCCCTGCCCCTGCAGAAACCACAGCTCCAAAGGGTGGCAGAGTACTTGGCCTATGGGATTCCGTAAGCGGCTGCTCACCTATTCCTAAAGCATTCGGGTCCATCCCAAGCCGCAACCGGCTTGTGCTCAAGAAAAAGGCCCCCAAGACCCAAGGGCTGGGGCCACCTCAGCGACTGCGCAATTTAAGTTGCAAATTTCATGGCAGAAGAAACCAAGGCTCAGCCTCGCCCAAGTGCAACGGCTTGCTGGAACCAGCTCTTCCTGCTGCCAGAGGCCACTGGCAATGACTTCCAGGGCCCTTTTCTCTGGTTGAGAGAAAAATCTTTATGGCAGACTTTGGAGACCAGTCTTCCACCCCTTGATCATTTCATGTAACAAACTTCACAAACAGTGGGGTGGAGAGAACGAAAGCCTTCAGAGGCACTGGTAAGAGCCTGGAAAGGCCATAAAGGCTGCTGGAAATTTTTTTTAAGTTTTAAAGAAGTGGCTCTCTAGGGCTCTGTGTGTAGGGATCTCATGCAAGGCACAAAGGTCTCAAGGCTACCACTGGGTTTTCTGTCACTAAGGGAAAGAGCCCTGTTTACTCTTCTTATTTAAAAAATTTAGGGTGTGCTTTCATCTGTCTTTAAAAGATGCAAGTTACAAATAAGATTTGAGTTTGGGTCATCTAGAAAACTTCCTTACACTAACACCTTATTCCCCATCAAGGTGCCCAGTAAGGTCCCTGCAGAACCCCACCTGGCCCCCAATGCAGGGTCCCTCTAAAGCATCCTCACAAGCCCCAAGTACACAGCTTTCCAAGTGAGCATCCTCGTCTGTGCCTCCTCCCCCACCAGCTTCTTAACTTCATAAAATGGAGGAAGGTACACAAACTACAATCTCTCATCTGCAATTCAAAAATCCTAAAGCTCACCCCAAACCAAGTTTTTCACAATTCATTTGCAGGCAAACCCTGACCTAAAATGACATGAGATGATTTTTAGTCTTTATTGCTCTCATTTTTAATGTGGGGTCCAAAGTACAGCCTCACACCCAGCTGGGGGGTCTTTCAGCTGTAGGATATCTAAGGCTCTAAAGTCCAAAAAATGCTGAGTTCCCCATACCCATGGGGCTGTGGGGCCACAGCAGAAGGAAAGCCCCTGGCCATGGCAAATGCCGTGTGTGCATCTCCTCCCATTCCCCCTTCCCAAGGGCAGCCTGGACGCACCTCCAGACTTCTTCAAGCACCCCCCCCACCAGCACGATTCCCCACCCCATCATCACTGAGGCCCCGTCCCCAACCTTCCTCAGAGGACCAGGCCTACCACTCAGGTGTCTGGGACCCTGCAACAGCTCTGAGAGCCTGGCATACAGCTCTTCCAGCAAGCTGCACCGCTGCTGATCCAACATGACCTCCAGGCTGGCCACCTTCTAGACCAGCTACAGACACACTGCCCAGTCTGGGTTCAGGTGTCTCCCTCCTTCTCCAACACAGTGGAAACAAGGGAAACCCTTACGTGTGTTCCAAGAACAGGGAAGCGGCCTCTTTTCCCTACAAACCTCAGAAGAGACACCACATGATGATCTCGTACATCAAATCCTGGGCAGACCAGCCTGGCTTTAAATCCCAGCTCTGCCAGTTATCAGCTGTGTGACCTTGGACAAACCACTGCCCCTCTCTGAGCCTCACTGCCTGGACTGTGAAGTGAAGATGACCATCTCTACCTCACGCGATTATCATGAATATGAAGTCAGCTAATGCTGGGAAATGAATGCCCTGGGTCCTGCATGACGTTACCTGAGTGATGGAGACGGCCCTGAAACAAGGGAACACCGGGCATGCACTCTGAGCATGGCTGGTCCCATCCCCCACCCGGTGCCCACGCAGAAAATCAGGGACGTCCTGACGCCCGTTTTAACCCCCTTCCCAAATGATCACCAAGACTTTGCACTCATCAAAGGCTGAACCGGGTCCAGGAACAGAGAGGTTAAGTGACTGTCCAAGGTCACACAGCCAGCTGGGTAACGGGAGGGGATGCAGGGAGGGGTGGCGGCCCTGGGCCTGTCCTCCTGGCAGCTCCGGCCAAACAGGCTCCATCGCCAGGGGACGCCGTCCAGCCGTGGACAGCCGGGCCCACCTCAGAAGGTCTCCGGCCTTGGTTTCCCCAAATGCCGGCCGACCCCCACCCCCGCCCCGCCCGGGGGGGTTCCGGCCCCCCGCCCTCCCAGACCCCGACGGGAAGCCCCTGGCGCGGGCACGCCGCAGAGCCGGGCGGGCGGGGTCTGCGCGGGGCTCACCGGACTTGGGGTAGGTGACGATCCACACATCGCTGGGCCGCACCGGGAAGTTGGCGATCTCCTCCATCTTCCCGCGGCAGAAGGGCGGCAGCCGCACGCCGTGGAACTCGAAGTACTTGCTCTCGAACTCGCCCGGGGTGCTGGGGGTCTCGGCCTCGCTCTCCGCCATGCCGCCGCCGCCGCCCGGCCCCGGAGCCGCGCCGCCCGCTCCCGGCCCGCCCCGCGCCCGCGCCCCGCACGCGCCCGCGCCCGCGCCCGCCGCCCCAGCCGCCGCGCGGCGCTCCGCAGGCGTGACGTCACGGCGCCGCCCGGCCCCGCCCCGCCCCGGCTGCGCTCCGCGGTATGACGTCATGGCCCCGCCCGCCGCGCGCCGGCTGCTCTCCGCAGACGTGCCGTCGCCGGGCCTCCGGGTCGGGCCTGAGCCGCACGGAGCCGCCGCTACCCGCCCTGCGGTGGGCCTGGCCCCTGCCCACCTCCTCCTTGCCGCCCGCAGTCCGCATGCCCGGCCATCGCGCGTTCTTTCTCAACCCGCTGTTTCCGTCATTCAGCGAGCGCTCAACACAGACTCACAAACGCTCCCTCGAGAAGTGACCTTAAAGATTCATCTAACAAATATTTAGCGACCATCTGATCTGTACGGGCACTGGCCCAGGTTCGCGAGATACATCAGGCAAAAGCCCGGCTCTCTTGGAGCTTACATTTGTGAATAACCAAGATAATCTCAGGTGGTGATGGTGCTATGAATGACATGCTTCATAATATCCTGTGGGCGGAAGGGGGGAGTGTTAATTGCAGATTCCAGGGCCAACCCCAGACCTCAAGGGATAGATTCTCTTGGGATAGCGCCCCCAAATCTGCATTTAATAAGGTACTTCTTTTTCATACTACAATTTGAGAAAAACTGAGTTCTAAAGAGATTTTAGTATAACCCCTCATCCAGTCATTCACTCAAGAAACGTGTACTAAGCACCTACCACATGCCTGCGGCTGGGGGAACACAAAGATGAAAACAGTGGGGTCCAGGTCTAATTCTCTGAGTCTAGCTGTCCTCGACTGTGGAAAAGGAATGATAATCTCTACACCTAGGTTCTATAGCTGGAAGGATGGACAGAGACAACTACACCAGCAAGAATACTGAGTAAAGCAGGTGGGCAGGACCTACTCCCTCTCTCTCTTGCTCTGGAATGATGTACTTGCATAGAGACACACACACATGAGCTGGGAGGCATGGGCCATGTGTACACGGTGGACAGAGGGAGGAAAGAGCAATTAACCTTGGCTCTGGAGGCTTGTGGGTGTCTTTACCAAAATGAAAGAGGACAATCCAACCACCCGAGGTATTAACGATTAGGTAATGACACAGACAGATCGCCAAAAGCTGGAGAAAATGAGCAAATGAAAGAATGAATGTCCTGATGTTTCAGATGAGGGCTCTCACTACGGGAGAAGTCAAGGGAGATGGTTTTGAATTGGAATCTGAGGTATTGACATGAACTTCCTATTTTTTAAAATACCTATTTATCTTTGCTGAAAAGGTCTTTAGGTACTGGTATTCCGGTAATAACTAGACACACCCAATCTCCAGATCTTGGTTCTTAAATACTTCCCCACCAAAAGGAACCAGACTCTCTTGGGGGGTAGGGGGGGGGGGAGGACAATTCCAGGGCTGGGCAAAAAAAAAAAAAACCCAAAAAACCCAAAATGAGTCTAAAGCATCTTGTTGGGCAAAAAATAAAGTGTTAAAAAATGATGGGTAAGTCAAAAGGACACAGGGGCTAGCTGAAAGGCCAAATTAGGAAAACTTTGTACATATTAGACAAAAATAGGAAACAGCTCCGGACGCCTGGGTGGCTCAGTTTTAAAGTGTCTGCCTTTGGCTCAGGTCATGATCCCAGGGTCCTGGGATCAAGCCCCACATCGGTCTCCCTGCACAGTGGGGAGCCTGCTTCTCCCTCTGCCAACCGCTCCCCTTGCTTGTTCTCTCTCTCTCTGACAAAATCTTTAAAAAAAATAGTAAACAGCTCAAATTTCCATCAATGATAGACTGGATAAATTGTGATATACTCATACAATGAAGACACTTACTACATAGGAATAAAAAAGTGCACATACACATATGTGTGTATGTGTATGTTGGTGATGCTATATGTTCATTATTTTGTTAGTTTTCTATTACTGCTGTAAAGGGTTACTACAAACTCAGTGACTTAAGACAAAAGTTTATTATCTTATAGTTCTGTAGGCCAGACATCTAATAAGGGTGTCATATGCTAAAATCAAGGAGTCCCCAAAGCTGCGCTTCTTTCTGGAGACTCTGGGGATGGATTCATTGTCTTGCCTTTTCTAGCCTCTAGAGGCCGCCGCACTCCTTGGCTTGTGGCCCCTTTCTCCATCTTCAAAGCCAGCAATGGTAGGTCTAGTCTTGCTCACATTATAGTACCCTGACATCGACTCTTCTTTTTCATCCTTCTTCCACTTTTAAGGACTCGTGTAACTACATTGGACCTACCCAACAATCCAGGATAATCTATATTAAGGTCAGCCAACCAGCAACTGTAATTCCATCTGCAACCTTAATTCCCTTTAACATGTAGCATAACATATTCATAGGTTCTGGGGACTAGGGTGCAGACACAGTGGGGAGAGGAGTGTGTTATTCTACCTACTTCAGTTGTATTACTTGAAACTTTTCTATAGGTTCAGGTTTTTTAAGAATAAAACTCTGAAGAAAAACCTTTAAAATAGATAACCCTGAGGATTCTACCTAAAAAGCTACTAGAATTAATGAGTTTATCAAGATCACAGGATACAAGGTCAAAAAGCAAAAATCAATTCCATTTCTACATACTATCAACAAACAATTAGAAATTGAAATGTTAAAAATATCATTTGCAATAACATCAGAAAATATTAAATGACTTAGGAATACAGCTAAGAAAATATGTGCAAAATTTGTATAACAGAAGCTACAAAACACTGATGAGAGAAATTAAAGAGAACCTAAAGAAATGGAGACATATACCCTGTTCATGGATTGGTAGTCTCGACATTGTTAAGATGCCCATTCTCCTCAGATTCATCTACAGAGTCTGTACAGTCCCAGGCAAAATTCCAATGGGCTCTCTTGTTCTAAAGTCTATATGGGAAAACAAAGACCCAAGAATACTCAAAACAATTTTGGAAATGAATAGCGAGGTTGGAAGGCTCATACCACCTGATTTCAGGACTTACTACAAAGCTATTTATCTTAAGGCTATAAATCAAAACAGGATGGGATTGGCATAAGGACAGACATATAGATAAATGGAACAGGATAGAAAGCCCAGAAATAGACACACACATAGATGATCGATTGATTTTTGACAAAAGTATCCTTAAGGAGCAGAAAACAGAAATTTTTTGGGAGCCCGAACTGTCCACCAAGGCCTGGTCTACCCCATGGGTAGTGAAGGCCCCATCTCTAGAAGTGTGGAAGAGGCTGGACAGCCTTCTGTCCTGAACAGACCCCTTCCAACAAAGGTGGATGCAGTTCTCTGCCCCAGAGCCCTAAGGCTGCTGAGGCAGAGGAAGGATGTTGCTGTCCGAGGTGCTGAATGCGCACAGTTCACCAGATCCTGCAGCCCTCCCGATCTGGGATCTGGGATCTGGGATCTGGGATCTGGGTTCTGGGATTAGGATAGCCACGACTCTCCATGGCCCTGATTTTGCTTGTTTTATGTTCTGTTTTGATGAATGTTTTCCGTTTGCATGTGCTATCCAGTTTTTAAGGTTAAGTACTTGTTTATTATGGAAATGTCAAACATACACAAAACTAGAGAAAAGGGTTAAGTGAACTTCTGTGAACTCATCACTCAGTGTCAACTGTTATCAATCCACGTTTCATCAACTCTCAGTCACCTGTCCCCACCCAGATTATTTTGAAGCAAATCTCACGTATTATTTCATTGATAAATATTTCACTACAGATCTCTAAAAGATAAAAACTCTTCAAAACACACGTTCCCAATATATTAACACAGCTAAAAAGTAATGAATGTTCCTTAACATCACTAAATACTTGGTTAGTTTATAAGACTGGATTTAAGGGTGGGATTCAAAGTTCAGAGGGGTTGAGGTATCTTCCTGGGGATTCCCACTATAGCCAGAATTTAGTGGTGGGGCAGAGGTCACCCCACTAGCATCACGTGATCCCAGCCTCAGTTTAGCACATACCAGCCAGCTTGGCACAGATGACATTAAGCGAGACTGAGGCACAGACTGCTGGCTCAGGCAGGTAGTCACACTCACATAGTGGCCCCTGAGGACACCAGTGCCCAGGAACTACATGCTCCAACCACACCCCTGCCCAGACAGATGGCTAGATCAAGATCAATTACATCAGAATCCCTGCAGAAGACTCCTCAGTATTTCCACCCAGCATTCTAGCGTTCAGACAGAATGGAACCACAGCCTGACCTGGGTTTGAATGCTAACCCCACCACTGACTGGCTGTGGGACCTGGGACAAGGCACTTCACCTCTCTGAAGCTCAGATTCCTTGTAGGTTTAACTTACCATAGGCCACCTCCAACCTGCCTTTGCACCTACAGTATCCCCTCCTGGAATAACTTTCTACCAAACCAAATTCTAGGCTTCCACCAAGACCTAGTTCAGAAACCCATTCCATTGTGGGTAATCCCTTCCTGGAATCATCTCTAATACAGTGATATTAATTGTCTATGTAATGGGCTGAGAAGAGCTGGAGGCCCCTTAGAAACCAGCTGGTCCAACCCCTGATTTTAAAGATAGGAAATGAGGAATTGATCAAGGACAGAACTTGCCTGGCATCCTACGATGCTGGTGCACAATGAAGCTGTAATGGTCTAGGGATCTCTCTGCTTCCTGGAGCACAGACTTGGGCATTTCCAGCTCTACTACTTACCAATGAACATAACCCTTCTGCGCCTTTGTTTCCTCATCCATAAAATGCAGAGTATATTACCAAACTCCCAGGGTTGCTGTGCGAATTGAAATGATGGGTTTTGTAAAGTGTAAAGTGAGTGTACATGTAAGGGTTAGACTCCCTATTATTTCCACAGAAATGGAAACAGAGGCATGTGAGCTCCTTGGGGCAGGGATCTGCCTCAGGCACCAGGACACACCCTGCAGACAGTTGGCACTCAGAAAACCAGGCTGGGGCAGGGGTTTGCAGTCAGCCTGGGAGGTGGATTGTGCCAGGGCTCCAGGGCCCAGAAAGGTGCTTGGCTGGAACACCGAGAGAAAGAGGAGGGTGGTGGACCCATGACTTAAGCTCTGCTGATGGGAGACCATGGCATGGGTCTAGAAAGGGCCTTGATATCACACAGCTCTGGGCCCCATCACAGCTCCCCTGAGTTTTCTCTGGACTGTCCCTCACCCAGGGGTGGTATAAGGCTCAGAGGAGGCCCAGTAGTCCTTCTAGTCCAGTGCCTAACACAGAGCAGACATGAAGTTAGTGCATCTTCTTGCTCCCTCTTTCCTACCATATGATGTAGTCTACAAGGAGCATTTACTTTTCTCAAGTAAATATTTCATGAGGTATGTGCTGTTATCTCCATTTTATGCAGGGGGACCCTGAGGCTCTGAGAGGTGAGGGAATTCCCTAGGTTACATTAATGCTCAGTTGCAGGGATGGGACTTCGACCCAGGGCGACCTCAATTCAGAGTCCTAGATCCCTCCTTTCCTCTGTAATGCCTCAGGGCTCTGTGCTGGGTGGCTATGTAGGTTGACAAGCCAGGAACTCTGACCTGGATCAGTTCCTGGGCTGGCTGCTTTGTCAGCTGAGCCACCTCCAGGCTTAAGGAAGAACACAGCATTGTTGGTGAATGGTGGCTCAGTGAAATCCACAGGGGTTGCCCAGGCTAAGCCCATTCATTCTGAGGCTACATTCATAGAAGTGGTGACCAGGAGGTGGGAGGTGAAAGGCAATTTAGGTCCAGTACTGGTCACATCATATCAGGGGCAGCGCTGGACTCCATACTCCTAGAGGGATTTGAACAAATTAGGGTTAAGGGGTTGTACTTTACTGAGCAGCAAGTCTGGGTTGGGGATGTCCCTGATGAATAGTTGTAAGGCACAAGCTATTCACTGTGGAGAAGAGCAGCCTCAGAGGCGCCAGCTCACCACCTTTCTATCTCTGCCAGGCTGTCCCCAGGCAAGCAGGTGCATGGGCCCAGAAGCACAGAGCTGGGATCAATGGAGAAAGCCACAGGCAGTCAGATTTTAAAGCCATGTGAGAAAATGTCTAAGAGTTCAAGAGAAGAGAAAGCAGGGAAGTACTTATAAACTGTAAAGCGCTGTAAGCGATGTTTGCGAATTATCTCTGCAACCCACAAGCTGTGAAGAGGTGACCCTGATGCATGAGCCACAGACCAAAAAGAAGTGTTCAGAGCAGAGTGTTATCAGCAATTGAGATATTCAACCAAGTACGCTAGAAACATTTAGTGACACGCTGCTTCAGAGAAGGAGAATGATGAAGAGGAAGGTGGGAGTGGCCAAATATCTTTCTCCATCAAAGACACAAAATAGAGCAAAGGGGGCAAAGATGGCCCTAGGGCAAGTCCCAAAGAACCAATGAGAGGGGAGGTGATAAAGGGAGGTCTGTTTGCCCCTGGAATAGAGGTCCATGTCCTTGATAGGGGACAAAGGACAGGGGAAAAAGAATACTCTCAGAGGCCTCCTGAGCATCTAGATCCTCAACCTGGAGACCCAGGTGACCAGTCCTCCCCTTTCCATAGGCAGAGGAAATCCCAAACCCAGCACCTGGGAACAGGGACAGGGCGTCCCAGCTCTGGATGGAGAGAATCCTTGGGGTTTGGACATCACCTGACTCAAGGTAGAACAGCCTCATTCATGACAGCAAGAGGGGACAGAAGTGAGCTCAGCCCCAGTGGATCCTAGATCCTAGAGATGAGCAGGGAGGTGGACCCTCCTGCAAGTCCTCCCTCTCTCTGCCTCTTCTCTCCCTTTCAACCTCCCACCCCCACCCCAGCCCTCCTATGCTCCATTCACCCACTCTGCACTCACCTTTTTGCTTCCCTGCTCCCAACCCTCCAATGACTGCCCAAATCCAACGTCCTGATCACCGTGACAGTGGCCTCTGTGACCCAGCCTCTGCCTGCCCTCCGCCTGCCCCATTGCTCACAAGGCTCCGGCCACACTGGCTACCTTCTGTTTCTTAAACACATCGACTGCATTCCTATCTCAGGGCCTTTGCACCTGCTGTTCCCTCTGCTTGCAAAACTCTTCCCCCAGCTCTTTGCCTCTCACCTGAGGCCTAACCCCCGACATCATCTTCTAGGAGGGGCCTTCCTGGACCACTGATCCAGGGTCGCTCCCACCCCACCCGACCGCCATCATGTCCACCCTCTTTTGCTCTCCTCACAGCACTGCTGCTCCTCAGATGATCTTATTTTCAGTTTCCAGTTGGCTGTTTAGCATCTGCTCCCCACCCCAACCCACACCAGAATGTAAGCCTTGTTCACTGTTGTGACCCCAGAGCCTACAACAAACTAAGCAAAAATCAAATGAATGAATGAATGGACGAACGAATGAAGTAATGAATGACTCATTATCTCTTTTGTTCGGATTTATTCCTTTGCTCCCTTTTTCTCTTGTGCATGCCTCCATTTCCCCACCCTCCCCATCCCTGCTCGGGCTGAGTGCCTCCTAAGGGCCTGGCCAAGACACAGTGTGGGTTCTGCTCTGAGGACAGGAAAGGGATCCGCTCCCAGGAGAGGCTAGAGGAGGGCTGGTGTCCCAGTCTCCTCTCTGCCTGAGAAAGAAAGGGGCCTGGGAGTGGGCTGTGTGCAGGTACTAGTAAGGAATAATGGTGCTGGCAGCCAGGGGCCCTCGGACACTCCGATGGGACACATGTGGGTAGGATTCTGAGAAGATTTTGATCCCCCTCTCTCCTCCCACCCTCACATCTCCTGCTGGGGGCTCCCACTGAATGTACCCAGTAGGAAGTCAGAGATCAAGGTTGCAGGAATGAGGCAGACTGTGGGGGTCACCCTGGGGCGAGTGCCAGACAAAGGAAGTCAGAGAAAGGATCTGAGGGGAGGCACACCCCAACCCATCATTTCCATTTGCCTTCCAATCACTGACACTTTCTCTATCTTCTGTAAAGTGCTCTGCAAACATCTCAGCAAAAGCACTGGAACCCTGCTTCTCAGCAGATGCTGCCCCCGAGTCCCCCTACATGGAAATTCAAGAACCAAGATGCGTGTCTCAGCTCCTACCTTCCTTTTTCCCTCTGATGACAGGGTGACCTGGACACAGCGACCAAGGGACACACCAACAGGCTGGGCCTCTCCCAAAAAGAAGTCCTTGGGCCCCCAGGAGCTGGCTCCAAGCAATAGGGGCTCCAGAGGGGCTGGTGGGGCCTCTTCTGGCTCCTGGGGGCCACACGCCCACACAGTCAGGGACAAGAGTCTGAGGGGAAAGGAAGGCTGCTCAGCAGACAGCTCCACACTGGGCTCTGAGCTCCGGAAGACTAGTCAGGACTCGAGGACTGAGGGCAGATCTGGGCACAGGATGAGGGCTAAGACAAGGACCAGGAGAGGCCAGTCACTGGGCTGGCCCTGCTTTGTGCCCCTCAGGCCTGATGGGGAGGTCTGGGCTCCTTGGCCAGGTTCACGAGAAGAGCTGCCCCAGGCCGGAGGGGGCTGGTAATGGGCAGGCTGCGAAGAAGGAGAAGCCAGTGAGTGCAAGGTTTTAGAGCCCAGGGACGGGCAAAGGGCAGGGTGAAGCCCTGTGGGGGCAGCCCTCGCATTCAGTGAGCCCTGGGTCACTCTTCTCCCAGATACTGCCAGGAGGAAAGCGCTGAGACCCTTACTCTGGCCACACGGAGAGGGGCGGGAAGGTTCCAGGGATGGCCATCAGTGGCTTGGAAGGACGCCAGGGTCTCTAGCCAGGTGAAGGAGAGATAGGCAGCCCCAACCCAGACCCCACAGAGCACAGGGAGGGACCTCTGGAAGGCTGTTGGAAGGGCTGATGGGGATCTGGCCGAGCAGGGAGATGCACTCGTCCTCTGGGAGCCGGTCCTGCAGCCTGACCTGTGTGAGAGGCCAGCTCCGGCATCCAGGCCCAGCACGGGTCTGGCCCACAGCAGTGACCAAAGCTATGCCAGAGACTACATGGGTATGTACATGGGGAGAGAAGGACACAGATGGTGTGGACGGCCTGCCCAGGGTCTAGAAAAACAGTGGTGCCTTGCTCCCCCAGGGAAACCACACCTGCTCTGCCCCAGGCCCGTCCCCTCGCCTCACCTGACCAGTCGGAGGAGCTGGTCCTTTGACCTGGAGTAGATCTCGAGGGCCAACCCCTGCAGCACGCCCCGCATCCACCACAAGTCAGCTGGCAGATCAGGCAGCCATGCCACCAACCTGGAGGAAGGGGCGGCAAACGCTTCACTCAGCTAAGCCTGAGCATGTGGCCCAGAGCAGAGCCAGGGGTCCCTGCACTGGAGGACCTGAGGCACCAGGCCTAAAGGAAGTGGAATAGAGGTGAGAAGCGCCCACCGCAGAGCTGGTTATAACTCCGCGGGGCACAAGCGTGAAGCCCATGGCAGGGAAGGGCAGGGCTCTGGGCCCAGCTCCCCTGCTCATCAGCTGTGTGACCCGGGCAGGTCAGGGAACCTCTCTGAGCTTCAGCTTCCTCGCCAGCCAAAAGGGGACCATCAGCTTGCCTGCAGTTCCTAACCTCCTCCCTCTCTCTGTCCCTCCTTCCCTTCCCCAGACCTGCCCTCCTTACTCCACAGCCCTCCATCCACTCTCCCCTGAGCAGCCGGTGACATGCCTGAAATATACATCCGATCACAGCCCTTTCTTGCTCAAAACCCTCCTGTGGCTCCACACCTGGGTCCTGTCGGGTCAGCAGAGGACCAGGTCATCCAATTACGGCAGAGACAGGGCCTGGCTGGGCACCATCTCAGACTCACTGGACACAGCAGGGCCTCCCCTCAGTGTTCTGCCTTCAGCAGAGCCTCTCAACCAGGACCTCAGCCAGGCAGACAGGCCACAGGGTGGAGTATGAAAAGCAAAAACATAAGCTAGACCATCACCTCCCTTGTTCTGGACTGTCTGTCTCTATTATTACAACCTACATGTTGAGCATGTAGGTTACCAAAAAAAAAGCTAAGTCTGAATTTTCCTATGGTCTGAACAGGTTTCTCCATCAGTGCTCATATATGGACTTTTTTTTTTTTAGCTGAAAAGTCCAGACTTTGCCCTTATCCTTTTTGACTTCAACCTGCAGTTTCAATCTAACAGCTCAGCATGAGGAGAATCTGAGTTAGCAGAAAGCTCTCTCCTGGCTTTGGGCCACTGGCAATTACAGCAGCAGGGCTGATCCAGTCATTAACTCAGTGTGGAGCAAAACAGAGAGACCTGTGACTCACTGTCATAGACCTTTCTGGGAATAAAAAATTTTAAAAAAACACAGCTCTCCCTATGACACTTCTCTACTGAAACCCTTTGCTGCCTTCCCACCACTGTTGGGACAAAGACCACGCTCCTCATGTGGCTATAGAGCCCTGCCTGTCTAGCCCCCACCAGCCACTGCCACACTGCCTCACCATCTTATTTCCTCTGCCTTCTGCCCCAGGACCTTTGCACATGCCATTCCAGCCCTCTGGAATGCTTTTCCCTTCCTCTTTGCCTGGTGGACTCCTACCCATTCTTCAGATTATAACTCAAAAGTTACCTTCTTTAGGCAGCCTTCCCTGACCAGATAGCCCCTAGGGCGAGCTATCTCAGTTCACGGCCAATGTAGACCTCTTTTAGGAATCACAGCCAGTATAGACCTCGCTGGGTATCTCTAGGCAGAGGTGTGATTGCACAGGTGAGTGTGTGATGGTTTGTGGGCTGTGAGTTCCACAAGGCCAGGGCCTGGGTCTGAGTCAGGGCTGCCTCCCTATCCCCAGCCAAGGCTTGGCCCCTGGGTAGGCCCTCAATATAACTATTGGTGGAATGAATGAACAAACAGTGCCGAGTGATTCATTAATCAGCAAAGTTAGAATGGTTAGTGAGGGCTTAACCACAACCGGTCAGCCCTGGAAGGGCCTTGTTTTATAGAAAAGGAAGCTGAGGCCCAGAGAGGTCAAGAGACCCAGCCCAGGCCACACAGCTAATCAGAACCAGACCAGCCCCCAGAGTTATTTCTCCAGAAACAGCACATTTCCTCTGAGGCTCTAACAGGTAGAGCAAAGGGCCAAAGGTCCTAGAGACAGGTGAGGGGCCAGAGCATTGACCAGGAGGCCCGTTTCCGATCCATCGGTCACAGCTGCTGCATCATCTCCCCACCAGTCCCATCCTGCAGAGGAGACTCCCCGACACTCCTCTGGGTTGTGCAACCAGCACCAAGCAGCCCAGGGAGGCCAGCCAGGCTCTGCCCACCCAGCGGGCTGGCTGCCCCTCCTGCCCTGGGCACTGGTCTCCACCACAGCCCTGATGGCAAGCCAGGCCCTTCCCAGGACCCCCGGCTGAGCCTCACCTTCTGCTCCGGAAGTAAACGTACTCGAAGGGTAGTGTGTAGGGCAGCAACAAGTAGGTCAGTGCCCGCCCAAGGCCCGACCGGCAGAAGCGTGCCCAGGTGCTAGGGTCCCGCACACATGCTTTCTTCAGTGCTACGAGAGAAGCCAGGGCATGACCACCCACCCCTCCAGCCAGCCCCTCACCATTACCCTTAGGGCAGGTGGCCTGAACCCCTTCCCACCTCACACGGTCCACAAACTATGCCCACTCCCCCACCCCTATCTGCAGAGAAAGAGACAGCATTGATCAAGCCCCCAGTTTGAGCCAGCGGAGGTCTGGGCACTCAGCTTGTGCTCTCTCCTTATTGTCCCCAAACCGGAAGGGCGTGCCCCTTTCACAGATGAGGAGACTGAGGTTCAGAGTAGGGAAGTGACTTGCCTAAAGACCAGGCCAGGAAATGGCAGGGTCCCCAAGACAGACCCAAGGACTCAGGCTCCCCGAGCTCTTTCCATGTCTCCCACCGCTCTGCAAAGTCTGTTGCACCCCCTCCCAGGACGGGCCACGTGGGCCCCCCGTACCTCCCTTGATGACAGCAACACATCAGGGTTATTAACAGTAGCAGCTGCAGGAAGGACAACAACCCCTTCCCGAGCCCCCTTCCCCTGAAATGCCCAGGGTACCAAGGACTGGCATCCTGGCCAGGGCAGAGCCAGAGCCCAAATCCTCATCTTCAGACCATGGCTCGGCCTCCAACCTTGACTCTGGCTAGTGCTGTGGAGACAGCCACTCGGAGGGTTCACAGACAACACAGCACGAAGACCCGCTCCTCGTTCCCCTGCCATGGGTCCCAGGCTGAGTCCCTCCCCTTCCCTGAGCCTACGTTCCCTCCTCTGAAAAGTGGGGCTCCTGGCAGTACCCGGCTCCCAGGCAGGTGGGCCAGGATTAAGGGAGGTCTGTAAGGGCCGGTCCGATAACTAACTCCCAGTCCCGGGGCGTGCTGGCGGTGGTGGCCCATCAAGGAGACGGTTCTCTGGTGCTGCCATGTGGCCGCGGGACGCAGTCTCAGCTCCTGAGCTCCATGCTTGGCCCTCAGGGGCTCACCACAGATCCAGGCCCATTTTTGCAGGCCCTGTATGGTCTCCGGCACAGAAAGAGGCACCCTCCCTGTCCCCTTCGCCCACCCACACTGTCCTTGCTCTAACCTCAACCACCATCAGCTCTCCTCCCAGGCTTCCCCCATCCCCCTGCCCAGCCCGTCCCCTCCCAGCTAGGTGCGGTAAACGTCAGACCTACCCTTCAGAGCAGTAGTGAACCCTGAAAAGGAGGGGTTGCCCCTAGTAGGCCGCCCCCCCCAGTGGCTCCCCATCCCTCTCCTGCCGCTTTCAAAGCCACCTGCCTGACCCTCCCAGCCTCTGCCACCCTGGCCCTCAACCACGACACTGCCCCCATCAAACCCAGGACATTTGCACACGCTGCACCTTCTGCCTGGCCGACTCCTCCTCTCCGGTCTCACTTAAGATGCTGTTCAAACCCACATCCCCATCACCATGACATACGCCCGGACCCTTCTGCTGCTGCAGTTGTGACTTTGGGGTCACTAAGCAGGAGAGCAGACCAAATGGCTCAGAGTGGAACTCCTGCTTGGGCTATTTGTTAGCTGTGTGACTTTGGACAAGTCACTTAACCTCTCGGTGCTATGGTTTCCTCATCCATATAATGGGGACAATCCAGTGCCATCCTCAGAGTACTGGTGGGAGGATGAAATGAGTCCATGTCCACGTGGAGAGTCCAGAACTTCTGTGTGTGCCTCTCTCACATCCCTATGTACTTCCTGCCCTTCCCTGGGCCGTGGGCAGAGACCTGGCTTTCTGAAGCACAGATTTGTGTTTGAATCTCCCATCTGCCTCTCCGAGCTTCAGTTGTGTCGTCAGTGAAATGGGGTAAGGAAAACACGTAGGCCCATGGTTGTGGTGCGGAGTGATTGCCACAACAGGTAGAAAGGCCCTAGGACCACACTTGGCACTCAGTAGGTGCTCAATAAAGGAGTCCTATCCTCTTCCGGCCCCTGAGCACCTGCAGGGCAGGGTCTCTGCACGCCCCCCCCCCCCCAGGCCCCTGTGTGCAGGGCATGGGGTAGGTGAGCAAGTGCATGAAAGAAAAGGCAGTACCGGCCTCCATCTCTGGTGAGAGCTGCTCAAAGTCAGGCACATCCTTGACCAGCACACTGGGCCCGCCCAGTTGAGAGACAGGTCCCTCTTCTGGCCTCTGTCATGACCGGCATCCTGGCTCCCATCAGCTGGGGCTGGGGGCTCCCTCGACACCAGCATCCAAAGCACTGGTTCCTTGGTAAGTCCTGGGTCAGTGGAGAGGAGGGATATGATGGGTCAGCACGTCCAGAGCCCCCTGGTGATGGTGACAGCCCCTGGCTCTCCATGCCACCCATCCCCCTCGATCCCCAAACCCAGTTCTGGGGACCTGCTTGCTGCAGGATGTACCCACAGCTCCTCCTGAATGACCTCTTCCTGCTCTCCCCAGACCCTTCTCTGCTCCCCATCTCCTGTGCACTTTCTAGTGGCTCATGGGAGCCCGGACCCTGAAGACGCAGTCCAAGGTTCAAACCCTGATGTCAACACCTGTTCACTAGGTGATCTAACTGCCCTGTGCCTCAGTTTCCCTCTTTGAGAAAGGAGAAAATGAAAATCTGCTTCATGTGGTTGTTCTGAGACTTAAACAAGACAAACACCTAAAGCTCAAGCCCAGATCTGGGCACATATTAAGTGCTCAGCAAATTCTTCCTGCTGCTGTATGTTTGGGGTAAACAACATGGGTCTGGAGCCAGATGGCCTGGGTTCAAATTTCAGCTCTACCATGTGAAGAGCATTGGATGACATCCAGACTCTCCAGCTGAGAAGACCTCTGTAGCCCACCCACTGTCCGATGAACACACACACACATGCACACATGCACACACACACACACGCATGCACATGCACACACACATGCACACGCACACTCCTGAGGCCATACTGAGTCACGTGCCCCGAAGGTGCTCGCCTCTGTTCCTTCACTCTCGCTCTCCCTCTGCTTGGAATGCCCTCTTCCTTTCTGTCTTCAACCTTTCCATAGTCTTCATAACTCTTCAAAGCCCAGCTTATCTGTTGCCGCCTCCAGGAAGCCCTCCTTGCCCACCCTCCAGGCCAGGTCAGGTGCCCCCTTCTGAGCATCCCCTCCATCTCCATGGGGAGAGGTCCCCCCACAACAGTCTAAGAGCAGCTCAAGAGCAGGACGCGCGTGTGATCCTCTCTAGGTCTCCAGCCTCCTGCTGAGGCCAAGCATAGAGCAGAAGCTGAGTGAGAGAACGAGTGAGCTGAGGTCCCTAAACCCAGCACAGACACCTGGAAAGCAGGATCTACTTGGATGCCCAGCGACTACGGGGGCTACCACCTACCACGTCTCTCCAGGAACCTGAGGGCGTCCAGGTAGCCTTGTCTGCAGCTGTCTGCTACGACCTGCCAAAACAGGTCCAAGTAGGATGGGGAAGGCCTGGACTTGACCCTCGAGCTGTGGTCACAGTCCAGAGACTTGTCTTCCCCTGGAAGCAATCCCCGCCCAGCCCGCACTCCCCAAGAACCCCCTCCATGGGCTCAAGGACCCCAGTGCTGGGCGGGGAGGGCCAGGGACTGCAGGCAGGACGAGCTCCCCCCTCTAAGACTCCTTGGTGGCCGCTCTTGCTCCAGACTCTCCGCTCTCTGGTCTCAGTTCTCTCCTCTGGAAAGTGGGATAAGTAGGCCTGGCCCAGGACACCCGGGACACTGCCTGGTTCCTGTGGGTCAATGCATGGTGGTTGCCTTCGCCCTTTGATGTTTATTTCCAGAACCAGCCTGAGATAGCAGAGGAAATTGGGGGCCCACACCCACCTGTCTCAATCGGAGGCAGGTGCCTTTCCCCCTTTAGGGGTCCAGAAGGCAGCTCTGCCTTCCCTTGCTGTGTGGCCTCAGGATGGCCGCTCCACCTTGAGAGCCTCAGCTTCCTAGTCTCTAAGATGGGGCTGAGATTTTCCATCTACCACACAGGTATAGGGAAGATCAGAGTAAATGAACATGATCTTGTTTCATAAATTATAAAACACTACAGAACTGAGGTGCCTAGCTGGTTCAGTTGGTAGAGCAGGGGATTCTTGATCTTGGGGTCATGAGTTTGAGCCCCATGTGTGGCATAGCATTTACTTAAAGTAAAAAAACAAAACACTACAGAACCATGGAATGAATGAAGGAATAGGGGAGGGCCAGGACATGGTTGGGGTAGAGGAGCAGGTTATGGTGATAAACTATTTGTTGTCAAATTACCCATTTTCCAGAAATACCAAGGGAATAAAACAAGAAATCTAGGTCTGTGGTCCCTTTTTGTCTGTCCTTATGCCTCGCCTCCATGGGGATGGTAAATTTGGCCACAGTCTAGGGCAGTGGTTGAGAGCATGGGTCTAGGCTAGCTGAGGATTTGAAGTCTGGCTTTGCTGCTTCCAGGCTGTGTGACTTTGAACAAGTTGCTTAACCTCTCTGAGCCTTGGTGTCCTCCCTTGAGAAACAGAGGGTACTAGCACCTTCTCACAGAGCCTGACCCTGAGGAATACCAGCAGAGGCCTGGCTCACACCCCAGCTCAGCGGGGTTGGTGCTAGCATGCCTTGATGTGGGGCCAGTCCTAACTCAACATTCATCCAGGCAGGGGAAGAATAGTAAGGACACAACTTGAGCCCCATGTTGTGGGTTCAAGAACATGGCTGTAAGACTCAGAACATGTGTCCTAACTACCCTGAGGTGGGGGGAGGGTGTGGGGACACAGTCTGACTCACAGGACCCTGGATCATGGCCAAGCCTCTAACACCTTCAAGGTGGGCCCTGGGGCCAGACCTACCTCAGGGCTGGGGGGTATGAGGGCGACGAACCCCAGGAAAAAGTTCTTCTTGGAGAGCTGGAAACTGGCATTGAAGGCATTCAGCTCATGCATGCTGGCCGAGGTGCTTTGGGGGCAGATGTCCACTGTCCCGTGGAAAGGGGACACAGTGATGGTGGAGGAGGAGTCTGCAAAGGGCAGGTTGTTGCTCAGAGCCCTGTTGATATAGCGCTGCAATTCAGGTGGGCTGCCTGCTCAGGATGCCCTATCCTCTCCCCGCACTGCCACGGGCTGCAGCCGGTGACCTCTAGCTGCCCCTGAGCCCCTAGGACCATCTACCCCAGGATGCTCTGAGCACCACCCCCCCAGGAGCAGAGGGAGGGCCCTGGCACACAGTAGGAGCTCAGGGAGCACAGTTCCCTCCACCCACACGCCTTTCAGCAGAAGGTACACTGGGCCCCCAGAGCACGGGGCAGGGACTCAGTCATCAAACCCCCAAAGTGCACTTACCTCCCCTCTGAATTCGGGGGGAATTGTCCCACAGTAGAAAGGAAAGTATAGGGTGCAGACCAGAGCCTGGGAAAACAAGTCAGCGGAAACACCATTATTCACGCTCCTGGTGTTCAGAACCTGTTCTGGGCATGGTGTCTAACCCCAGAGCTGCCTGTGAAGTTTGTTGCCATTAGTCTTGTGTTCAGGGGAGGGAAACGAGGCCCAGAGAAGTTGTCATGTCCCAGCCAAATTCTCAAGGTTAAGAAGGTACTTGAATGCAGGCCTGTCATGACACCTGCCCTCCAATTCCTGCTGATGGATCCTTGCTCACTCGAGACTGCTGCTGTGTTCCCCCCCTTCCCAAGGGCAAACAGAGGCACCAAGTACCATTTATCCATCACCCAGCAGGCAGGAATTCTTCACCAACAATCTAGGTATGCCTCCCAAAGTGTGTTCCCTGGACACTGATCCAACCAGATGCATCTCAAACAAGAAACCCTGACTTCGGGACGACTGGGTGGCTCAGTCAGTGAAGTGTCTGCCTTCGGCTCAGGTCATGATCCCAGGGTCCTGGGATCATGTCCTGCATCGGGCTCCCTGCTCAGCGGGGAGTCTGCTTCTCCCTCTGCCCCTCCCCTGCCTTGCTCGTGCACGCTCTTTCTCACAAAATAAATAAATAAAATCTTAAAAAAAAAAAAAAAGAAACCCTGATTTCTTTATCCATTTGGAAAACACCGTCCACTCTTCCCCGTAGAGTCTCTGACAAGTCCAGCAATGAAAAAGATGCTCAACATATTGACATTTGGGGCTCAAGAGTCCTGTCTTGGAAGTGAGGGATGGTGTGGCAGGCAGCTGTCCTGTACATGGTGGGACACTTAGCAGCATCCTTGGCTTCTACCCACTAGGTGTCAGTACTTTGTGCACACACACACACACACACACAGAATTGTGACAACCAAAAATGCCTCCAATGTTGTCAAATGTCCCTAGGGGGAAAAAATCACCCCTGGTTGAGAACCACTGACCTAGGGCTTACCAAACTCATGGAGCATAGAACCTTGACTTGCAGTCTACTTGGAAATATCCCTCCAAACCTCTCTGGGAGATGCAGCACTCATCCTGGCTCTAACCAGTTGGAGATGCAAGCGGGAGCCTCATTCCCACAGATTAATGATAACAGTGACAGCCGCTAATGTTTACTGAGCACCTATTATGTGCCAGGCCCTGTGCTATGTGCCATACAGGCAAAGATGCTGGGATAACCTTTAGGGTCCCTAACTGGCTTTCTCGAGAGCCCATGGACATCAGCTCGTGCCAAGGGACTGGCTCCTCTCCTGCACACACTGAGAATCCCGATCATCACAGACCCAGAGATATTCCCCACGCTGGGTGCTGGGGTCAGCAAAATGAAGCAGATTCTGCATCACGGACCCCAGTCTGAGTGGAAGGCACAGACCCTGATAAGAACGGGGAGCAGAGCTCCGGGCCTCCCTCCCTGTCTCCCTACCTGCCTGAGCCCTCCCAGGGACCTAATCCCTACTTGGTCCACCTGACCACTCCCAGAGCCTGTCACTGGCCTCCCTCCCTGACCGTGTGGCTCTCTGTCACGACCTCCTGTTTTATAACAATCCTGGATTGTTTCCTAATCCACTGTGGGCAGGCGCCTCTCTGGAAAAGCAGGGGCCCTGAGTACAGAAGCTGGACTTTGCCCCCTCCTCAGCCATTCCCTTCTGTGTCCAGCCGAGGGGCCTTCCCAAAGCAAGATGGGAGTCTCCGTCCTCACCTTCTGGCCCCTCTGTACCGCTACTCTCTCATTTATAAACAAACCCAAGCCTCAAGTGACACCCCCCACCTCCCTGAAAGGAGTGTCTGCCTCTGGGAAGCACCTGGAAGTCACCATAGAGATGGAGCCCACTCACCTGCCACCACATGCTCACCTGGATGACTTCATCGCGGGTTGTGAAGTTGGTGACTATGATGTTGTGGCCATCGGGCCATCGGGTCAGCGAGATGCCCAGCTTCTGGGAGGCCAGGATATGAATGTTGGAAGGCAGGCTGTCCTGCAACTGCTGCCTAATGTGCTCAATGGGTGCGAAGGCGGGGTGGAAGATGCCCAGGCTCAGCTGCTCCACCTGCTTGACCATGCCCAGGAGACGGGAGCAGCAGAAATCTGTGCGCATGGGGAGAGGAGAGGGTCCTCAGTCACCCGGGGGGCCTGCCCACATCCGTCCAAAAGACTTGGCCTCCCTCCCGGGTACCATGGGAGTGGACCGTCTTCCCTTCTCCAGCTCAGAATATCTGTCCCAGCCCTACGTTCAAATGCTCTGTCCACCCTCTGATCTTGGAAACAGCCTCCCCAGCTCCGATCAGTCCTCTGCGAAACGAGAGTAACCATACTCCTCAGGGTTCTCATGAGGGTCCCATGGGATCATGCCCATGGGGCGTGGGGGGCACGCGGGCTCCACGCCCCTCTCCGCGCCCTCCCTCCGGCGTGGAGCCCGCGTGCCCCCCACGCCCCCCCTCCCCCAGCCCGCGCCGGCCCCCACGCACCGACCGTCTTGCCCGCGACGAGGGAGGCAGACGGCGTTGAGCGCCCCGGCCGAGGAGCCGTAGAAGCGGCGGGCGCCCCGGAGGAGGTGCGGGGCGCGCTCGCTGAGGCAGCGGGTCACGCCCACATGGTAGAGCCCCAGGAAGCCGGCGCCCGAGAAGGACAGGCTCCAGCTGCCCTCGTCCTCGAAGCAGCGCACGGCGGTGAGGCCGGCCCGGGCAGTCCGCGCTGGAGGAGGGAGCTGAAGTGCGGCCCCGGTGGAAGGCTCGGGCGGGAACCCGGCCCCGCCCCACGCGCCCCCGCCCCGCCCCACGCTGCGTCCCCCGCCGCCGCAGCCAATGAGGTCCCCGGGCCGCGGCGCCCCGCCCCCCAGGTGTGCCAGCCCGCGGGCGCGGGGTGGGGGGTGTGCCCTGGCGTCGCCCGCACACGCCTGCTGGGGGGCGGATCACGGGCCGCGACTGCGGGTTGACCGGCCCCGGGGGAGTGGCACCGGCTCTCCGTCTGATCGCTGGTAGCAGAAGCATTATTCCCGCCCTCATTTTACAGATGGGGAAACTGACGGGCCCTGAAGGCAAGTGCTAGCCAGGAAGTGGCAGACACCTGGCACAACACCTGGCCTTTGGAGTCAAGCCGGACTTCATTCTGCAGCTGTGCTGGTTCAGGGACCAAGGACAGCCAGAGTCAGCTGCCACGAGCCATGTGACTTTGCCCAAACTCCTTACTCTCTCTGGGCTGCAGTTTGCCTGCATACTCTGAGGCCCTTGGATGCGAGGACCCACAGAGCCGTTTCTGCTCTGATTGCTGCTCCTCTGGGGCAGACGCACCATCGACTGGCCAGTCCTGGGGGGTGGGATGACAGCCGGGACAGCAGGCACAGGCACTGTGCTAAGTGCTCTTTGCAGTCACCCTCACAACGCTGTGTGGGTCAGGACCGCGGTGCCTATGTTCATTTAGGGACATTGAGCCCTGGAGAGGCTTAGGCACCCATATGGCCAGGAAAGACCTCCAAGAAAACGTGCCCACACCCTTAAAACTGGGGCAGTGGTTCTGGAAGTCAAGCAGGCAACGGGTGAAATTAAGTACCCCAAACAAATTCTTTGAGGCGTCCACAAGGATGTTGTGGAGGAGGAAGAGGGAGGTCATAGGTGACTCTCCCCACCACTATCACCTCCCCAGGGAATGGATGAATAACCACAATGGGACAGTTCGTGGAAGGTCAGAGAGCCTCACATGTGATGAGCAGAAGAAGAATGAGGTTTATTGCCTGGCGCCATTTATGCAAACATTTAAAAACACTCCCAACGCATTGCTAGGTATTTTTAAAACAGCCTGAGACATGGATTGGTAGATCACACCATATATATATAATCAGAGGGTGTGCAATGGGGAGTGGAAGGCAAGGGAAACAGGTGTGTGTATGGGGGGGGGGGGTCAGCCAGAATTGCACTCAGGCTCAGGACCTCCCTGTACCACTTCCAGACTGAGTAAGGGGCAGACCCATGGAATAGACCCTCCTGGACTCACCTCTGGCAGAGTGCCTGGAGGCCTCTTTCCTTGGAGGTGGGAGCTGGGAGGTCAGGAGAGGCTTTATGGGCAGACCCGTGAAGGCTGACAACCTTCCTTTGCAAGCATTTCCCTCCTACCTGACACTGGGCTAAGTGCTGTCTCATTTTATCTTCACAACAGCCCTGCGTGATAGAGAGTACTACCAACCCCATTTTGCAGATGAAGAAACTGAGACATAAGCCAGGAACCCAAGAAAACCCAGCCAGGAAGGGTTGAGCTGGCACTCCATGGCCGCCTTGTCACCTTAACAATAGAGAAGTGTGGGAGCAGGAACTGGAGGTGGGGGTGTCTAAGCTTCAGGCTGGGGGAGTCCATAAGGACCAGGCCGGTGGGCATGAGGTTTCACGACTCTGGGAGTGGAGGTTTCTCTGCAGGAATCAGGGCAGAATAGTGCTTCTGGGAGAATTCTGGAAGACTGACCCTGGAACATTTTCTTATGCCAAAAAAGTAAGAAAGTGTTTGAAAAATGATGAGGACTTTTCCAAAGGATACAGAAGCCAGCTTGTATAATGCAGATTAAGGGACATTCCACTAAATAACCTGCCCCTACTCTTAAAAAAAAAAAAAAGGTTAAGATCATGAAAGATAGGGGCGCCTGGGTGGCTCAGTCGGTTAAGCATCTGCCTTCAGCTCAGGTCATGATCCCAGGGTCCTGGGATCAAGCCCCACGTAGGGCTCCCTGCTCAGTGGAGAGCCTGTCTTCTCCCTCTCCCTCTGCCCCTACCCCCGCTCATGCTCTCTCTGTCTCTCTCTAAAATAAATAAATACAATTTTTAAGAAAAGATCATGAAAGATAAAGAAATGCCCCCTGCCAAAGAAAGCTAAAGAGATGAGACAACTGAGTGCAATGCGTGCTCCTGGATTTGACCCTGGCCTGGAGGCAGAAAGAGCCAGGAAGGACATGATTGGGACAATTGACAACATTTAATGTGAACTGTGAATTAAATCATAGTGATGCTTTGATGTAACATTTACCAATTTTAAACATTATACTGTGGATCCACAAGAAAACATCCTGTTCTTAGGGAATACACTGAGATAGTTAGGGGTAGAGAGGCATGGTGTCTGCACCCAATTTCCAATGGTTCAGAAAAATACCTCTAACTCCCTGTACCTACGTCTACTTCTCCGTCTGCATCTATATACAGAGAAAGGAAATGTGACAAGCGTTACTGATCCAAGACTCCCAGTAAAGGGGGCACAAGAGTTCTTTCTTTGCACAAGGCATGTAACATCCTTGAAAATGTGAGAGCATATCAAAATAGAAAGGAAAAAGACAGCAAACAGTTAATTCCTTCTGGTCCGGCTTGTGGGGACCTAGAGGGAGTCCGTCTGGCACCATAAGTGGTGAGTCCTGTCCAGCACCAGTGTTTTAGTGGAGACTTTGGATTGGACACATATCGGATCCATGGAGGGTGCAATGATACCTCCATGGAAAGCCGGTCAGAGAATCTGACCTATGGCCACATCTCCTATTCCACAGATTCTGCAGAGAGAGGTGGTTGCAGAAGCAGTAAATGTCCCCAAAGGGAAGAGAAGTGTAAGAGTGAAGGTGAGGAGACCCCTCCAGTCACTCCCTAGTTGAATAAGAAGGAAAAGAAGGACGAGGAGGCCAGAACTGCCCTAGCTGCGAGATTGGGACAGGGACACCAACAAAAAGAAGACAGAAGGGAGGAAGAAGTTTCAGAGCCACGAAGGCCACTTTAAGCACTGTTCTCTTTTTCTTGAAAGAATGGGGCAGAGGTCCCAGAAAGGGGGGAAAGTTCCAGAACATTGTGTTGCTACTGGCACTTGGGTAATGCTCTCACCTCGTCCTATTTTTAAGAATAGGGGTGATGAGGTTGGCCTCTTGCGAAGCTCCCCTTGGCCACTGGAGGCTTCCCCATACCCCGCAGGCCTCCAGGCCCCCTCTCTCTGGAGAGCCGAGAGCCCGGTGCCACATCTGGCCTGCACATCTGCCAGAGCTAGGTGCTTGGTCTAGGACGAGCCGTGGGGTCCGCCATGGGTTGGGGGCTGCAGAACATGGTCCTGTGGATGCACATCACTGGCATGGTCCCACCGCACATTCAGAAGTCTATTAACAATGACATGATGGTCACCAACGGCAATGGTGTCCTCAGGTTCCCGCAAACGTGTAAACGTGGCGACAACTGGATATCCTGCATTGAGCAACTGTACGAAGCCACACGGAGTCTGTCTGGCCGTCTGGAGAAAGAATGAGAACAGAACACTAGAGGCTGTTTGCCATGACCCTGAGGACACCTACTGTGGAATTGTTCTCGAAGATGCTGCTTCTCCAAAGTGTATTATGAAGCAGAAGAGGTGTTGGGTGAGACTTTACGCGTTCCTTAGCGCTGATGAGCACAATGACTAACTACCTCATTGTCTCAGAAGTTTTCCTGGGAACATGAAGAGCCCTGAGACAGAGTAATAAATGTAATCCAGACAGGCAAGCCCAAAAAAGAATTAAAACATCATAACAAAACACAAGCGAAGTGGTCAGAAGACTGTAACACAAAGAAAAATGCTGCTCCACGGGACATACATAAGGCTGAGGCTCTGTCCGTGGAGAAACAGACATTCCTAAGACGGGTGATCATTTCTTGGGCAACACCTGGCTCGTTTCAATGTCGGTTGCCCTCCTAAAGCCACAGCAACAAAAGTAGCAAGAACCTATCTCCCAGGAAGGAATGCAAAGCATGATGAGCACAATGGAAGGAATGTCTAATGCAGCAGAAGCAGAATCAGGGTTTTAATTGCCCAGAATGAGCAGTAATATGAAACTGAACTGATACACATACAGTTGGGCATATAGGTTCACACCGTCAACTGCAGAAGAGCAACTTACCGAAAAGCTGACATGGCATCTGTTCATAGGGTAAAGACCCGGGGGTTTACAGCAGGTGAGTCAAGGTCATTCTAGATTCAGGGCGATCTGGCCGAGAGTATCAAAACAAAACAACGGAGCCAAACAAGCAAGCAGCAGTAGTCTTCAGCTGCACTCCTTGGAAAGGACGGTGACAGTCCCAGGGTAATCTTTGGTGCACAGGTGATATTCCGGGTATTACAGCTGAGTCTAGCGAGACATGGAGAATCTGGAATAGCAAGATTGCTTACATTTAGGAAGAGGACCTGGCATCTGTTGGGTGCCTGCTAGATGCTGGGGAGGCAGACTTTAGGGTCTGAGACATATGTCTTTTAAAGAGCAACTGAAGGGAACAGATGTTCAACCTGAGATGATTTAGGGAAATGGGTTATATGCCCATCAAGAGTGTAAGAGCTCGCTCATCCATCCCACAGAAGAAGGGACCATTTTGTTGTCTTTTGCTTTAGAGAATAGGACGAAAACCCATAAGACAAACAGGAAGGCCACGTTTGACTTAACATTAAGGACACATTTTTAGGGGTGTCTGGGTGGCTCAGTTGGTTAAGCATCTGCCTTGGGCTCAGGTCATGATCCTGGAGTTCCAGGATTGAGCCCCCCATCGGGGTCCCTGCTCAGTGGGGAGTCTGCTTCTCCCCCTGCTCCTTCTCTTTCTCTCTCAAATAAATACATAAAAATCTTTTGAAAAAAGAATACATTTTTATTTTCTTTTTCATCATGATACATGTACTCTTGAATCCCCATCACCTACTTCACTCACTTTGAGAAGAAATTTTTAAGTATCCCACTGTTTAGACTTTATCCTAATAGATCTGCAGATCAATGTATTGGGATTAAATTATGGTATGATTTACAGAGGAGTGTTAATAACATCTATTGTAACTTTGTGGTCAGAGGTTTTATCTCTACCTCTCAGGAATATTCCAGAAGTGGTTGTCGTATATCAGACTAGACCACGTGCAGGGTCCTTTTGTGGGGAGAGAGGAAGGAAGGAAATCATGTAAGCCAGACTATAGACTAGAATGCAAGAGGTGGGGAATGACTTAGTTTTGAAATATGTATTATTGGAATAAAGCGATCACATGGCCTGGAGGGAAGACATCCTCTCGAAGTCTGTCCAGAACATCAAATAGTTCCTGTCACTATGTTGCCGGTTAAATTCAGGGTGTCTAGGTGGCTCAGTCGGTGAAGCGTCTGCCTTTGGCTCAGGTCATGATCCTGGAGTCCTGGGATCGAGCCCCTTCAGGCTTCCTGCTCAGTGGGGAGTCTCCCTCTCCCTCTGCCCCTCCCCATTGCTTGCTCGTGCTCCCTCTCTAGCTCTCTGTCTCTCAAATAAATAAATAAAATCTTAAAAAAAAATAAGTTCAATCCCCTATG